TTGGATAAATAAGTGGAAATGGATTGAAATACAGAAGTGAATATTGATTTGTTGCGGAAATGATGTAAGCTGTTTTACAAGTGTTAAACATTTGTCAAATGTCAATGTTTTAGTTAATTCTCATACTTGGTTTAGCATATCTCTTCTGGGCTTTGGCTCACCCTATTTAGGACACCATTTTTCAGGTACAGGTGATATGCTGCCTCCAAGATCTTAGCTTGGGAAGTTTAGGAGTTGAAGACTCCTTTTTGATATTTTGTTTGATGTTAAATGTAAATCCAAGCCGAGGGCTTTTTATGTACAGAGTTAGAACTCTTCTTTTGTTGTAACCAAGTGATAACTTGGAAAGCTGTAAGCCCGTAGGGAATTTACTTTATTGATAACATGTAATATCTTTTGTAAAGAGGACTCTGGTGAAATGAAGATGTATTCTTTTCTTTATGTTCATGGAACTCGTAAATGTATGATTTATGACTTATATTGAGGGCGTCACAAAAAGTGTAATGATTTATGACATGTAAGAAAATGCCGTAAAAGATTATATATGGCATACAAAGTATGCCATAAATATATTAAAAATGATATTTTATGGCATACAAAATTATGTCGTGAAAAGTGTGATAAAAAATGGCATGCAAGAAAATGCCATAAAATATTATATACGGCATACAAAGTATGTCATAAATATATTAAAAATGATCTTCTACAACATACAAAATTATGTCGTGAAAAGTGTGATGATTTATGACATGCAAGAAAATGCCATAAAATATTATATACGGCATACAAAGTATGTCATAAATATATTAAAAATAACATTCTACGACATGCAAAATTATGTCATGGAAAGTATGATGATTTATGGCATAACAAAAATGTCGTAAAAAATTATATACGACATACAAAGTATGTCATTAATGTTTAATTTATTACTTTTTACAACTTTACCTGCATGTTGTAAATGATGCTCAACTTTCCACGGCATGTCATATAACGGCATTTGTGTGCATGTCGTGAAAGAATTTTTACGGCATGCATTGCAAGCTATAAAAATTCAATTTTGTTGTAGTATATATTTTGTGACATGATTTTTTGATCCCATCATATGAATACCAATGTCCAGTTGACTTAATTTTTTAAGTAGATATTCTTTTCCATTGACCCTCCCTAGCCACCATCCACCACCACTAGCTCTGGTCAGTGCTGTTTGCCTCTTCCAGTTTCTCATCACCTCCAGCAGCCCATCCCCCACCTCTTTGCCACTTCTTAACACCTTTTCAACGACCTTTATGTCCTCCTGTCACTCGTGTCAACCTCTTTAGAGAGAGAGACATCAATCATAGTCTTTGCATGCCAATCACTACCTTCCAACTCAGTAGTCCTCTCCTACTGATGCAGATTGAATTTAAAAATCATATAATTTATTTGTATTATTTTACTTTGATTAGGATTATTATTTAGAAAAAAATTACTGAAAGATTCCTCTCTAACTTTGGATAAAATATATATATTTTTTTATTAGTTGGGTGGATTATTAACTTTGGGTTGAAAGATTCCTTTCGGTTCAATTTCTTCAAAATTTTACAATAAGGTTGCCTTTTATACGTGTTCTATGTTTGTATGTCACTCAAATGCTGTGTTAATTTGCATAAGTTTGTTGACATTTGGGTTCCTTTTTTTCCACATTTGTTCTGTTATTGGTGTTTGGTTTTATGTTTATGGATCTTGTGATGCCAAAGAAATTCTATATATCAAGAGTATAGAAGTATGAATTTCACTGCCTTTCGAGTCAGTAAAGGAGGCCGCTGAAATTCTCAAGTCTCTCTCTCTCTCTCTCTCTCTCAATGAGGCTTTTTAATGGTTTAGGTGATCGAAGCATGAATTTCATATTCATTTCATTTGTAAATTTGATTGTATCCAAGCAATTTTTTTTTTTCTGATTTTTTAGCTCCCCAAAAAATTATGTTTTGTTTTAATTTTTTTTTTAACATCTTTTATATATATTTTTTTAGTTAATTCTCAAGTACATTGTTAAAGAAAGTGTGAATTTTTACCAGTTTGGTTTTTTGTTTTTTCAATTTTTCGAAGATAATTTTTCTGTGATCATATCAGAGAAATTTCTCGTTCACTTTGAATTTTCTCTGTGAAAAGCTGAAATTTCTCTGTGAAATTTCTTTGAATCTCTTTTCACAAAATTTCTCTGTGCCGAAATTTCTCTGTGAAAATGTTAAGAGACCCCAATTACTATAAAAATGTTTCATATTTTTTATCTTATAAAATCTTAATATCAGAGATTTTAAACTAAAAACCCCTATTATTTAAGGTTAAGATATTTAATTTCGTATTTATTTAGTTTATCTGTTTCGTGTATTTTCTTATTTCACAAGAATAGAATTGTTTGCTTTACAATATTTATTTTTATTTCTTAATATTTTATTTTCTTTTTACTGGTAGTTGATTTAGGAATTATTTTTTTATTATAAACAAGGTTATAAGTGAATTAACTTTTGATATATTATATATACATTGTTGAATAGAATTCTATTTTTGTTCCTATATTTTTGGTAACTTTGGATTCAACAGACTGTAAAAGAGTTATAGTTTTTTTTGCTATGCGATATGCTGTAGAGGTGTTCATGGGTTGGTTTGGTTCGATTTGACACTAAACTTCATGATCAATTCTAATTTTTTGGACCCAAAATCAAACCAATTATGCATTAGAACCAACCGAACCCAACCGAACCCAACCCAACCCAACCCAATGTAGCTCAGATTGGTTCGGGGTTGGAATCACGATTCCACTATTTTAAAAATAAGCAAATCAATCAATGATAAATAATTAAGGGTAAATTACACTT